CTTAGCGAGGTGAACCCAAGGACCTTGTAGGCCCTGGAAAAGAGCTGAGATTATATTCTTATTGCAACAGAATTGTTGGGAAATTGCAACAGGTATATAATCCACAGTAGCAGAAAAAGAAATAAAGGAAAGAAAGAATCACTTGGTTCACTTTATGGAGAATGAGTTGCAGGAATGATAATAGAAGAGAGAGGCAGTGGCCATTTCTTCTGAGGTTAACTTACTGGGAAAAGCAAGTCAATGTTCCTCCAAAATAGCAAATCTTTTTTTTTCAGAGCACTATTCATTGACTTCTACCAAATTCCTGCACATTGTTCTGGACTCGGGTCCTGATAGAAAACCTCATCTAACTTCATATAGGGAAGGTCTTACCACACGCTCAGTCTTCATGAGTAATTATTACATTAAAAATGTCTGGGTGTTAGTCAAACACTTTTTGAAGGTACAATTGAAAAGCAAACCATTTTTTAACACCAAGACTTCCTCTTTCTGAGAAGTGGTTGCAACTTGGAAGTTTTTTTGTGTCTAAACATTTGGAAGACCATGTACCAAGATGGAGGCATGTGGCTCCCTTTTGAGTAGAAGAGTTCCCACTGGCTTCTGTCTATGGAACTCTTCAGCAGCTGTCTGCCCAAACACTGTTTATCTTTCCCAGCATTTGTGATGTCATAAGAAAAGTCAACATGAGATTTTTGCATTCACAGTATATTCTTCCTCTACTAGGATGACGGAAAGCAAGTCCACGAGGCACAGTCTCTGGACACTGTTGTTTATTCTCACAGAGTGTGCATGGATTTATTTCATGAGAATGAATCAGAAAGTAACCAAACATTGAGAATTTTTCCTTACTTTAACTAAAGGAAGTGGACATTGATACCAAGAAGGGGAAGATAAAGACAACCACAAAGTGAAAAACTTTCATTGAACCAAATGTATTCAAAATGAAAATAAGAAGTTCTAGAATAGAACTCTCTAGCATATACCCTAAAATAAAGAAGACTGTAACACTGAATGGTAGAATGATTTTTTAATGATTTTACAAAGCCAAGCACTCCCCCGAAAGCCCACACATATTTAGGTCAGTAGTGGAAACAGATTAATTTACTTGGGCCTTCTGAGGCAATTAGAAGTAAATCATTTTCATGCCTCCTGGATTAGAAGAATTCTCACACATCTGCTATCAATTTAAATTGATCATTTCTTTTTTTGTGAGGCGCTCAGGCTCCAAAATTTAAAAAAATGCATTTATGAGGTTAAGTATATTCTTTATTGTTTGGGTTTTTCTTTGGTGGCATTGGGGTTTGAACTCAAGGCCTCACACTTACTAGGCAGGCACTCTACCACCTGAGCCACTCCGCCAGCCCAGTATAGTCTTTAAATTTAAAAATGTATTATTTTGACTCTTAAGAACCCTGTTTTTTTTTAAGCACGTGTTGCCCAGTAAGATCCTGGAGACATAATTATTCCCCACATTAAGAATAAAATTAACACTGAAGTTGGAGTACGCAGGAGATCAGAACGGCATAAAAATTTATGATGACACCGATTCCATGAATCCACTCAGGAAAATTCATAAATATGTAACATACTAAAATTTTTACCACAGTTAATTTCCTAGAAAAAAAGAAATAAAGAGGGAAATTTTAAGAGAATATTTTTTGGCTGAGATCAAATACTTTGCCAGTTTAGCTTGGCTGAATAAGGACAGAATAATTCTTTTAAAATAATGAACATTTCTTCATGTCTACAGTAAGTCAGAATGTGCTGGATGCCCGTGTGTACATTATCTTATTTAACAGAATTTCGGATCTGTTGTCCCATTTTATACAGGAAACTTGAGTGGTGAGTGGTGCCTTCCCCTGGACCTCACAGCTAATCACTGCTGGTTCACTCAGGCATCTCCACAGTCCTTGTAGGGGTGATAGAACTGGGGTGTTGAAATGAGGAATGAAATTAACTGTAAATTGTAATTCACCTTGGGTTCAAAATCAAAAGGTCCCTGGTCAGCGTTTTATTTTGGGATTTCCAAAGGCTTTTAGAGACCCAGTACACCTCAGGAAAGAATTTTAAAGGCAGTATCCAGAGGTGCTGCCTTTGTATTGTTTTTTAGAGAAAGAACAGTCATTGAGTAATAGCCCTGCAGCTATTTAAAGATATTTAAAGGCAGAAAGGTTGTACCCTGAGGATGACTGGAACAGAACTGCAAAGAGTCCTCAGCTGCCCTGGTCTAACATTATCTGCCACCTGCACCCAAGAGCCTGTATCCCTGAAGTTACGTCCTCTCCTCCCTGCCTTACGCATGCCCTGCTCCCAGCAGCCTTCGGCTCCTGGATGCTTCACACTTTGGTCCCTCCTCACAATCTTAGACTTCTACTACCACAGTGATGCTTCCCCAGATAATCACTGACCTGCTGCTTCTCATTCCCAACTTAGGATCCCTCCCAAAAGAGGCCCTCCTTAACCACTCTGCCATGCTCACCCAGATTGCTCTCTTTTCTCTTTTTTTCAATCATTTGTTTATTTTAATCTGACAAATAATATTGTATGTTTTTACTTCGTGCAATAATAATGTTTTGAGGTACATAGACATTCCGGAATGGCCAGATGTAACTATCTACATCCCCTCACATACTCATCTTTTTTGTGGAGAGAGTGTTTATCATCATTCCTTTACAGTCTCCAAGAATATAAAGTATGCCCATTAACTAGCATCACCTTTCTGTACAACAGAACTCTTGAAAGTATGATTTTCCTACCAACCATTTTCACTCAGGGAAAATACCATGTTTATTTGTGCTTAATTTATTACGGATTCTTTCCTCCCTTAGAACGCAAGCTTCCTTAGGTCAGGGACTTACTTTCAGATATGTGGCTGGCACTACTGTGGCTCGTCTATGTATGGGGTACCATCTGGAAACTGGATCACTGAACAATGAAGAAGAATGATCTCCAAGAATTTAGACAGCTCTCAATTCACATTGAATTTCATCAGGAAAACTTAGAATTTGTTAAATGAATTTGATAATGAAAGGGCACACCCATATTCAATCCTATCCCCAAATGTGACCTAACTTCACACATGCTGTCTACTCTTTTTGATAATGAATAAGGTCAGTGAATACAGTTAGGGACTACAGAGTTGGTTGAGTTTTGCTCAAACCATTGACCTCATTGTTGATATTTATCTCTTATATCTTCTTAGTTGTTTGTCAATCATAATACATAAGGAGAACATAAGAATGTTTAAGAAAAGTTTTATTTGTGAAAGTATGGATATGTAAGTTGTAATACAGCATAATACAAAGCAACTTTTAAGTATTAAGTGTAACACTTGGGAAATTCTTGAAAACTTTTTTAGCACTTATATGAAGCTTTGATTATTCTTAGTATAAAAACAGAATCAGTTCAAAGCTGTCATTTTGGTGACTATAATTCCTTCAATACTTTAAAAATGTTACGCAAATTTTTAAACATAAGAAAAAGTTGAAAGACTTGTTTGCAATGAACACTCCCTAATCTCATCTCTAAATGTCTTTTACATATTTCAGTATTTATTTTATCACATTATGTAAATCCATCTCTTTATCCATCTATCAATCCAACCTCTTTTTTCATCATTTCAAAGTGCATTCAAAACGTCAGCACACTGCCTCTTTAAACACTTTACAATGCACACCATTAAATAGAGATTCATATGTTTGTAGTTTATCGTAGGGTTTGGGGAAGTAAATTTTACATACAAGGAAGTACACATATTGTGAGTGAACCGTTTGATCATTTTTGACCATAAGTTTACCAATTCTGCTTCATTCTCCATTGAGTTACAGAGCATTATTATCACAGAGTTAGCTGTAGCCCTTCCACTCAATCCTCACCTGTAATTCCCTCTCCCCACAGAAATAAGCATTGCTTTGGTTTTCATAACATTAGAATCACGTATATTCTTATGGTTCTGGTTCCTTTTACTCAGCGTAGTACTTTTGAGTGGTATCCATATTGTTGCTTATATCAGTAGCTCTTTCTCCTTTCTGAATAACTCCCCTTTGTGTGGATCTACTACAGTTTGTTTAGCCACTCTCTGTTGATTGTCACTTCTTCAGCATTTTGTACTGAGTTTTTCATAAATCACTTTTATGAAACTTTGGCCATGATTTATAGGCTATCTCAGTTACTTTTCCTCCTTCTCAACTGAAGGATTTGCGAAAAACACTCATGAGTATTTACCCTGACCTATTGAAATTCATGAAAACCTTACTTTGTTCTCCTATTTTTCTGCTCTTAAACCATTCCTATTTTGAAGAGCTGTTGCTCACTCTCTTGTTTATCCATATGCTGTGGAAATCAATGTTAATGAGAAAGGTTCAACTGTTGAACCTGGCCAATATTTTGGTCCACACTTATGATGAACAGATACCCGTGCTGGCAAAAAGGATAGTATAAGGATTTGAGAAATGAGGAGCATAGTGTCCAGGTCAAAGGGCAGCTGATGGGAAATGACTGACATAGAGCCAAACCTTTACATCCCACATTCAAGTTTGACTTTGTTGTGTCTTCCTGAGTTCTCTCTAATCATTCCCTTATCCTTCACTTGGGATATTTCTTGAATCCCTTTGCTGCCATGCCATCATTTTAAAAATTACAGAACACCCATGCTTCATCCTCAGCCGAGAAAATACCCCAAGGTAATTGCTCTGAAATCGGCCACTTGAACTCTTCCCTGAATCTTAGGAGACGTGTCACTTCTCACTGGAAGGAGAGAGGAAATGATGTTTAAACATTTTATTTTTTCAACCAAATGAAAAGGCTGAAGGAGCTGCTTTTTGTTCTTCAAGTGCCAGATGATATTAAGGAGGGAAGAAATAGTTTCAATGGAATGGGAATCATTTCCCCATTATCCTGAAATAGAACTGTGGATTCTCTGCTTGTTTTATCTTCACTTAAAGGTGATCCTGAGAGAAGGACAAGAACATCAGTGGCACTGGCACAGATATGTATCTGTACCATCTTTGTTATGGTTTGAATATGAAATGCCCCCATGTATTCATGTGCTGAATTTGTGGTCCCTATCTAGTGGCACTATTTGGGAAGAATAGAAACTTTAGGAAGTCGGGCCTATTTGGAGGAAGTAGGTCATTGGGGGAATGCTTTTGAAGGTTATACCGGGTCCCCAGTCCCTTCCTCATTATCTTCCTCCTGTCTGCCATGAGGTGAACATCTCTACTCTGCCATACTCCCAATGACATGATGTTCTGCCCAAATACATGGGGCCAAGCAACCATGGACTGAAATCCATGAGGCAAAATAAATACTTTTTTTATTTAAGTTATTTTTGTCAGGCATTTTTGTCACAGCAATGCAAAAGTAATGAATAAAATGTCTAAGGCTCTGCAAGAAGAAAAATTACAGGTACACTAGGATCTTTTGGAAGAGACAAATGGTTGCAATCTTACCTAACATGCATATTAAAAATGGTTTGAACTCATCTTTCATAATAAAGGAATTAGTTCAGAGCTAAATCTTCTAACCCTATCTCTTCCACTTCATGTTTATATATGTAACCATTACAATTTTCATTTTATCTCCATAAAATTGACAGAGATAGATAAGAGTTTATAGACCCAGTATTGTATATAAATGTGTGATTGTGTTCATCTACAATTAAATAAAAATCAGCATGCCATTTAATGCATACCAAGCTCAAGTATAAAACTTACTATGTAAATTTTTGAACCTCTTTTGATTTACAAGTAAGTCATAGATAAGAAAGGCCCTTTTATGTGTTAGCATTTTTGCATGTAAATTAGTTCGTGCCTATACATGTAAGTCATAGATACCTACCAACAAACATTTATCAAAAACCTGCTTTATGATAGACCTTGCAGAAGAGATAACCTTAAAATACACATTTACTGCCACTATTCTTTCAGGCCTGTACTGTTAAATGACTGTTAACATTAGCATCTACTTATCAGCAGGTTTGAGATTTTATAAAGACCACAGCTAAAGCAAAAAATAGAAAAGAAAATTGGTACTAGAACTCATTCAAGATTGCACATCTCATCATTAGCCCTCAAGCATTGCATTCCTCAGAACACCTTTACTGTTCTCAGTTATTGACTTGGGTAGCAGGTATATCTCATTAATTTAAATTGGCAAGATAAAGTCACAATAGTAAAATACTTACTAAAAACCCATTAAACATGTTGGTGGTAGCTCTTAAGAGTTTGATCATCAAAAGTATGCTATATAGCTAAAAATACCACTAAGATGTCTGCTAGAACAGAGTGTGAAGTTATAACCATTCAAATTATTTCACTTCTGTCATATTTTTGCTCACTTTATCCTATCGCTGAGCATCTATAGTCACAGGAGAGGAAATGGCTGAGTGAGACACAGATGGGAATTCATCAAATTCCTGACTTTATGAATCTAGCCACTGTGATAGCACATGCCTAAAATCCTAGTTACTCGGGAGACAGAAACAGGAGGATGATGAGTTCAAGGCCAGCCTGGAAAATTTAGCAAGATCCAATCTCAAACATAAAATAAAATAACAGAAGGCAGGGGACATGGCTCAAGTATGAGAGTGCTCACCTAACTTGCACAAGGCCTTGGGTTCAATCTCCAGTATCACAAAAACAAACAACAAACAAAAAGAAATGTACAATCTGATGAAAGGCTAAGATAAGCGCATGAGATAAGCATCATTGAGAGTCTGATTCACAGAGTCTGCAGGAAGACAGCCAGCCCTAATTCTGTAGAGGTCAGGATGCCTTCATGGAAATGATTTTAAGAAACATACTCTTAGGTTACAATGGCATATTTTTCAGACTTAAAAAAAAAAAGAAATCTTAACACATGCTACAACACGATGAACTTTGAAGACATTAAGCTAAGTGAAATAAACCAGAAACAAAAAGAGAAATATTATCTGACTCCTTTTATGTGAGGTACCTACCTAATTAAATCCACAGAACAGAAAGTAGAAGAATGGTAACCAGGGGCAGAAAGAGAGGGAAGTGGAAAATTATTTTTTTCATAACCAGCATTTCAGTATGGGATGGAGCAAAGGTGTGGAGATGGATGGTATGGTTAATCAAACTATACAGTTAATGACATATATATTTATATATTATACCATATATACACTTATTTATATTTGTCTATATATATATAGATAGACAGGAATGGACAATGTGGTTCTGATCTCAGATTTTGCCTACTTCAGCAATGAGGACAATGTTTTTGTGCTCTAACTTTTCCTGCTGTGAACTGAGAATAGTATTATCAAAGTGTCTTTCAAGGGGAGGCTAAAAGAGCTTTTTAAACCCATTGTTTGGCACCCCAGATGAATGCATAGGAGAGAAAATTTATGCATACGTAAGTCTGGTGTCCTTGGTCACTTTCCTTCCTCTTCAGAATACCATCAACATAGGAAACACTTTATCATGGGAATACCAAATATGCCTCTGTTTTTTTTTTTTTCCTCAATAGTTGGATTCAGGAGTTCTTTCTACACAATATGAATTTCTTTAAGGTTAAAGAAAACACATTCTATGAAATTTCTACATGTAGGATTTTATACATTAAAAGTTACCAAAGCTGGTAATGGAGGAATTTATGAGCCTTGGATTTGCTGTCTGGTTTCCATTCAGCCTTTCATTATGAGATAGACTCAAGCCAAGAAAAGCATATTTCTGACTTATTCCACTCTGTACAAAATGTTCTCACTCCCCTGGGATGGTCAGTGATGCTATGTCTGAAACAGGTCTTTCTATGCTTCTGGGGGAAGGCACAAATTGAGCAGAACTTCCAGTAGATCACTTTCAGTGGCCTTTTGAGGCAGCCACAGCTAGGGGAGTGGCACAGCTTGGTGGCCATAGTACAGGCTGGCTCTCAGGAACCCCCAAGTCCTTTAAGGCTGAGGCTCTTTAGATGACCATCTTTGTAGTCTTGAGCATGTCACATACAGGTAACCCAGAAAAGATAATGCAAATATCACTGCTTCTCTATCCATTTCAGAATGCAGAGGAAGGAAGATATAAAGAACCAAACTTTTAAAGTACCAAACCTAAAAATATTCTGTTTATATTCATCTACTCAAAAAGATATGTATTAATTTATATAAATAGCAATTCTTGTTTAAGATACTTAATACTGAAGAGAAGATATAACAGTTTAGAGGAAAGTTAATATGTCCAAAGAAAATAATGGGATCCTCACAGGTTTTAGGATTACAAATCTTAAAAATTTGTAAGAACATTAGAATAATCATTGTTACCTTAGGAACAGCTGAAAATGAAAGCAGTGTCTCAAATGACAACCCAGAATCTTTCTTTTTTTTTTTTTTTCTTTTTAAATATCAGAGCAGAATACAAACCAGAGAAACTTCCTTCACATTCCTTTGAGGTTGACCATGAAGATGCTGATAAGGATGAAGTAAGTGAACGGCTGAAAGTAAAATGTTTAAAACGTAAGGGTCATGAGTTCTGTCGTATGCTGGAGAGTTCCAATTCTGGCCAGGTTTCATAAGCAGCAGTAGCTGCTCGTGTTGGGGCTTTCAGGCAAAGTGAATCACTTTGTTTTGACACTGAGGATGATTACTGCAGATGAGTCAAAGGGAGGGAAAGGAGAGTCTCGTTTTTAAGTGCGGCGTCTGGGTTGGCTGTGATGCTAATGATGCCTTTTGTGCAGGACACTACTTCCCACTCATCCTCCAAGGGCGGCGGGGGAGCTGGGGGAACTGGTGTGTTCAAGTCTGGCTGGCTCTACAAGGGGAATTTTAACAGCACCGTGAACAACACCGTTACTGTGCGGGTAAGGACACCTTCAAACTAATCATCATTTCTGCCGTCTTTCTTGACATTCCCTATTTTGGTCACAGCGTGACAGCCATTTGCATTGAGTTTATGTTTCATGTAATATTTTATTTATGAAGAAGTGGGATTTTTTTTCTCTCAAACAATGCCCTCTTAAAATGCTAAAGGAATTAGAAACATTTCTTATTTCCATGAGTAATACCACACTACAAGTTGAACTTCTATCTTTCCTTTGTTTAGTCATTCAAAAAGCGCTACTTCCAGCTGACTCAGTTGCCAGATAACTCCTATATTATGAACTTTTACAAAGATGAAAAAATATCCAAAGAACCCAAAGGCTGTATCTTTTTGGATTCCTGCACAGGTGTGGTACAGGTGAGTAGAAATCCCTTTTCCCCTGGGCTTTTTTTTTTCATGGCAAAGTGCATTCAACAAATATCTGTGTAAACCAAGAACTGTTCTAGATTGTGGGAATTCAATGATGAACATGCAGGCTAGATGTACTTCCACAAAACTTTCAGTAGAAAAAGGAAAACAGGATGTAAAGAAATAGGGAAACAGAATGCAAACAGTGGGTAAATCTTTCAGTAAAGATGATAAGCAGGGTAACAAGGTGAGAGATAAGTGAGGTTGGAACGGAGTGTTAATGCTTGAAAAAATAAGAGCAACATGTTTGAAGAGAGACCATTTGATCTGTGCACAAAGAATCAGCAGGGCAACAAGTGCAAACTCCCTGAGAAAAGAGCAAGTCTGATTTACTTATTCAAGGAGAAGAGGAAAATGATTACTGGTGTGGCTACAATGTGGAAAACCACTGAGCTGAAGAAATTCAGTAATGTAACATGTAACTCACATAGTTCAAAGTATGCACCTCATAAATGTTACCTTCACAACTAGGCAATGATGAAGGATTAAATTCACAGTGTACATACATACTGCCTTTCTTCTAAGAGGAGACCTTCTTTAAAGACAAGAATTGCATTGATTCCCAAGAGTTTATTTCAGAAACAGGCATAGAAGTGCTTGATCTTCAAATCATTGTCCTAAGTATTAAACTTTACATAGACCACTGTGCAAAGGTAAACAGATTAATTCCATAGACTGCTTCCATTCCATGGACATTGGATGTCCACACATTCAAAATATTTATTCTTTCTACTCTGATGGAAATCTATTTTTATTCCTTCTTAAGTAAAACTTGAAGCAATCAAGTGTTTTAGCAATTCCCCTTCAAATTTCCCAAGGCTCTGGCTCCTTATGGTTAAGACTGTTTCTGGTCACAAACCAGGAGAGCTGTACTTTCTGTTATCAGCAAGCCTAGACATCCATAGAGCTTTTTTAGGTCATAGCTAAGTTTACATTTTGGGCTACTACTGGGGGCACTTAGATAGAGGGATGCAAAGTAGAGTTCTCTCCATTCTCTCAGTCCTGGCCTGTTTCTGGACAGTCATCTGTTAAAATCTGGAATTCCTCCAGAAAGTAATAAGGCTGCACTTAAAGAGGAAAGAATTAATTAAGTGTTGCTGAGCACTCGGCTAGAAGTGAAAGCTAATTGCATTTTAATGTAGATGCCAGGTTTCCATATGTAAGGGCAATAAGGATCTTAATGGAGAGTGGAGATGACTGTCTATTGTTTATCACAAAGCAGAGTCTTTGGCCTTATAAATATGAAATAAAGCTTTAACAATAGCTTTGAGATCAGTAACTACATTTCGTAGACATTGAGCTGAAATGTTTAAATATTTTTTAATATTGTGCTTCAAAAGCTCTGACAAACAAGTCATCATTTTTTTTGAAAAGTGTGATTGTACTCTTTTGTGATATATTAGGTTTGCAGTGATACAGTTTATTGTGTGTAATGTCTCTCTTCTTCAAGGAATCATAGAATTAACTGTTAGACACACACTTAGTGCTCTAATCTGACAAGCCACTTGAGAAACCTCTTCTCCTTAACATGTCTTGCTTAGACTGTGTTGCAATCCATTTTTCAACATGCTCCTAGAGTCTTGTAAGGGAAATATGAGCTTGAAATTCAGGCAGGCAAGTCAACATTCAAATTGTAGTTTGGCCACTTACTACCTGAAGGCTTTGAGTAAGTTACTCAGCCTCTGATCTCAGGTTTCTTCCATAAAACTAAAATAAATGTGTATATGTTTCCAAAGGAACTGGAAGACCATGTATCTTCAGCCTTTCTTTCCTAATTGTTGCATTAATCACAAAGTTCAGAACTCTGGGAGAAAAACACTTCATTACAGGAAAGCATCCTAGTAAATCTTGATTCCCCTTCCTGAAATTTCTACCTACATTTGCTGAATAGTTTATTTACTCACTAACTAATCCATCCATTCAACAGACTGTTTAGTGGCTATAATATTCTAGGAACAGTGCTTAGGCATGGGTAATTCAATTCCCTGTTAAAGTCAAAATCAGAGAGGAATATAGTAGCCACATGCTCACTGTTTATTACTCAATATCACAAGAACTCTAATGGCAGAGTCTGTGGAATGTTCTGGGAGCATAGAACAGTGATGAACTCTTCTAGGTCAGGCTACAAGTCTACAGAGAAAAGCTGGGCCTGTAGGATGGTCCAAGATGAATTTTGTGCATATATCTTTTAAAGGATTCAGCTACATATCCCTGGATTTATGTTCCTGTTCATCAAGAACCTTTTTCCAGTTTCCTTTTCTTGAGATCACTTTGAGGAGGTAGACATTAAGGTCACTTGTCACTTTATGTGTGGGCCCCAGCTCTTACATAACAGCTCTTTCTGGCTTATAAAATTCTACATCTGGAAAGAATGATTTTAAGCAAGATAGTGCAAAGCTTCACCATTCTTCTAGTAAGCTCTCAGGCACAAAATGTGCCTTAAGATGAATCACATACACACAAAAGCACAGAACAAATGAATAACTAGAATGAGTCAGATCTATTTTGTCAGGAATCATTGCCAGTTTCCTTTGAATAAAACAAAAAAAGAGGAACAAAGTCTTTGCCTCAGAAAGTGCTACCTACCATCTCGTCTTCTTAGAAAGTTCAAGTTCATCACAATCTTTAATGAAGCTTATCATTTTAGTTTGCCTCATTTAAACACAATCTATATCATTGTATTTTCCTAAGAATAATTCCTGGATTTCTCAGATACATACTACACGGGTGACCTCGAGCAGAAAGAGATTCCAACCTCACTTTCTCAGAGACATTAAATGATGTTTGTGATTGGCAGGTTCCTGGATCTTGATAATAAACAAAAAAGACCCAACACTTTTTTTTTTAACATCTTCAAACAGTATTAGGCCTGTGTTATAGGCCTGTACTCCCAATCTGAAACAGAACTAGATTTTTGCTGCTTTCATTTTATCCTGGATCTAAGGAATATTTGTGTTTCTGTTACCCCACCTTACTCATTCAAAGTTTTTAATTCATTCATTCATCCTCCCATCCATCCATCCATCCATCC